CTAATAAGCCTGCACAGAAGTTCTGGGGGTGTGATAGTTGAAGCTTTGTCCCTAGTTGCCCATTATTCCAGGAGAAATTTGATAATCGGCTCGTATCCGAGACCAAACGGGGGAGTCAAGTTCAGAAAAGCCATAATTGTTGATTTTTCTTCCAGCGGACTGTTTTTTCTCGTCAGCCTTGAGTCCTGCTGGAACTTTTCGGTCAAAAATAGCCAAATTTTATGGGTATTCCACTCCACTGATCCATGTTATGAGCCCTCCCCAAGGTCGATCCCAACATACTGATGAGTCCTAGGAGCCACAGGTGGCCTGCGATTCTCACAAATCGCCTCCATCTTATGGTTTAGCCCGTAAATCAGCTGATTTTGAGTACTCATAGCACAAACCAAACTTTCACACTGACTCAGAAGCTTTGCCATGGCCGAAACTGCTGCTGAAGTCTTCTTCAAAAGTTGAAAAAAACAGAGCCCCGCCGATGCCAAATAGCAGAGCCCCTGTTATCCATCCATCTATCCATTATCTTTACCCGCTTATTCCATTTTGGGTCACAGGGGTCGCCGGTGCCCATGTCCAGCTATCACTGTGCGAGGGGCGGGGTACACCCTGGACGGGTCGCAAGTCCATCACAGGGCCACATAGAGACAAACGAGACAAACAACCATTCACTCTCTCACTCACACCTAGGGACAATTTAGAGTTACCAATCAGCCTAACATGCATGTTTTTGGTCTGTGGGAGGAAACCGGAGCACCCGGAGAAAACCCACGCATGCACAGTGCAGCGTGAGTTTCAGCCAGACAAAAGGGTTCTCCAGGACCCTGTCATTTTGTTGAAAAGATTTTGTCGATTGCGTTGAAAGTCCAGCTCACCAGATCCATAATTGTATTTTTCATTCAGGAGATGTGTATCAGGAGCTTCAAACACACCGAGAGCAAAGCAGGAGGAAGGATAACAGGGGGAGGGATAGCGGGGGCGTCCGCCTTGAGCGAGAGCCATAGTAGAAAAATCACAGGTCATGTTTACGATTCTATGTAAAGCAATGCTTCATAATGTATCTTACATGATTTTACTAATTTTCTAACGCCACGTAGTCCTCTTCTATGCAACGTATGTCAATTAAAAAAGGCCATGTGATAACATGTTGAATGAAATGCATTTTAAATATTTTGTGCTCCAGTGATTATAACAAAATCTTTGCAATGAAAAAACATCAAAAAGGCAGGCATATTTTATAAATGCTCCTTCTTTCTGTAAAGCAGTTAAGGAGAAATCTAATGTTAATGAAGCTCATGATAATAAGGTATTTTTAACAACCTTTCAGGCTCGTTAAATCACGCAGAGGGAAAACTCCCATAGATTAATATTACTAACATGACATTTGCGTAGATTTTATTATAATTTTTAAGTTAGACACACAGAGTTTGGCTCTTTAGGGTTCCACATACTGAAACTGCACATTCATTCTTAAAATCTAGTAGCTTTTGGAAAAAGTTGCACTTTTTTTATTTAGAGCATGCGACATTCATTTTATATACACTAAATTTTATATTCAAGCTTTCTATAAGCAAACCTTTCTGACAAACCTGAGGTATATTACACACCAGATGAAGAACGACAGAATATATCTGCGAGGAGGACATACTAAAGATCCAGATGTTTGATTAGTGATCAAAGATCCATACAGGTCAGTGGCATTTAAAGCTCCCCCACATTTACATGGGCCTGTATCTACGGGGGTCCATTCAGAGGTCAATACTACAACACTGTAAACTAATGATCTAGCAAATTCCCTTGGTCCTGCTCCCTTTCCTCCTCCTCTTCCTCCTTTCCTCTCAATCTGTTGCTGCCCTGCATCTCTCCGGCTCTCTGATCCCCTGCTGCGCTGCAGAAATGAGAAGCAACTGAAGGCTCAGGAGCGCTGGGTCTGCTTCGCTCCTCTGATGCACACCGATGATAAACAAGTCTGCTTGTTAAGAGACAACAAAACTTTGGCTTGCTTGATTTTCGTTCTTTTATCTTGTGTCTCCTTGCTGCCCGTTGCTTTCGCCCGTCAGGGTTTCGGCAGTAACGCCCAACGGATCATAACTCGTGCAACAAAATGTAAACACAGATAATGAGACGATCAGCTGCAGTGTAGTTTAATTTAAATAATGTAATGAAAATTCAAAGTTGTGTATCGGAAAAATGTCATCCTTCTCATCTTTTAGACACTAGTTTTGGATATAAACAAGGATCTTAAACACCCCCCCCACACACACACACACACACACACACACACAAAACAAACAAAAAAATAATAATCTGAAGTTAAGACTAACCTGGTTAAAATAAAGGTTGAATTAAATTTCTGATGATTATTAAACCAATGTAGCAATAAATTGAAAACTACAAAGTGATTAGGGGTTTTCTGCACATCTCTAGAATAAGTAAGTATATATTGTGTCTCACCAATGTAACACACATGTTCACTCTTAGTATCTGTCTGGCCTGGAGCGAACTTCCTATCTCTGCCTCTGCCAGTGTATGCGATAAGCCAGCAACAGAGCTCAGCCCCACTGTTCAGTCTTTTTCATATTGATTCAGAATAAAGAATGGGGCTCATGGAATGCAGATAAACACTGTCACAGTGTTGACAAACTGAAGTGATCTCAATTCAAAGTACACAATAGATGAGTGTCAGTGCCTAAGTGTGGATGTGAGGAGATTCATCACATCTGTTAACGACAACTTCTTGGAACAAACGTCTTACACTACTCTAACAGTTGGCAAAAAAACAACAACAAAAAAAAAAACAACAACAACAACCAACAAACACTTATTTTTCTTCAAAATTTTTGATCAAACAGTTAACAATATCCTTTCCAACTTGTCACTTTTATCTGCTTTGTTCACAGTCATGGCAAGAAATGCTACTGATAGTATATTCAATAACCAACTGATGCATTTGTGCCCACAAGATTTGTATGTTTTAGTGAAAAATATAGATCAATACACTTGAGTAAAACATTGCTTCTAGATATTTGACTTTTTTAACAGATCCCAGGCAGTTCAGATGGGTAGTGCCTCTTCCTCATTGGTGTTCACTAACGGAGTCACTCAGGGATGTGTGCTCAGTCCTCCTCACATCTAAAACTGCACTACAAGATAACATCATTATACTGTGCAAGCTACATAGTTAGAACAATTGTATAATAATATTAGAATTTCTTATTATTGGGACTAAAACCAGGTCATGGTAGTTCAATCTGTCAGTACTGCAGTCTTGTAATCCTGAGGCTGCAGGTTTGAGACCAGGTTGTGTCAGAAAGGACATCTGGTGTAAAACAATTGACAAATCTTTCATGCAAGTTCACTCGCTGTAGCAATCCCTGCAGAAGGGAGCTGCTAAGAGAAGAAAAACAAGAACATATCGGGACTAAATCAACCTGGGGTATAGATCAGAGAAAACAAACTCTTTTGTTTCACTGTTGTCACTGCTTGCTCAGGATGGGACACTGCAAAGAAGCCAAGATTCAACTCGTCTGCTGGATTCCGCTGGATACAGAACTTTAGTAATTGGCTTTTTCATGTATGTGAATGTTTCTTTTAAGTGCCCTGAGACAACTTTGTTGTGAATTGGCGTTATATAAATAAACTGAATTGAATTGAATTGAATTTTTCCATACCAACAAAACCAGCAATTGAACTTTGATTGCACCAGTAAGAACGCAAAAATATCTTTCTATGTCCAGGTCAGCGTATGAGGTGGAGCAGGTAACCCATTTTCGGATCAAAGAGGTTAATCTTACACAGAAACTGTCATGACCATCATACTTTTTCACTTTGGGAAAGCTCAGTTTGGGCAAATTGCAGTTGCATTTTTATTTGATTGAGAATCCTCGTGTTTGCCAATTCCTTCCTTCTACAGTTTTCCAGTGTAATTTCCCACTAATGGTAATAATAAGGAAACTTTTACTATGACATGACAATTAGAAAGCAAGGAAGAAACAAGAGAGCCAAACTCCAGAGCAGAGTTATAATAAACTTCAAAGTGGGAGCCATCTGTTTGTGTCTCAGAACATGAATTCTCTGCAGCAGGTGATTCAAACTGCACAGAAAATCATCAGCAAGCCATCATGCACTAAACATCACCGACATCCAGGAGGTGAGGTTTCCAAGGAACGAAACCAACCCAGAGATCTGCTGTACAATTACTTCCTTCACTCAGTCTATAATACTTAACTAAAACTGGTTCTTTTTTAATTACATAAAACGACAACTTTCTAAATATTACTATGAGATAAACCCTGATTAACTCATCGTACGAATATTGAATCTATTAAAAAAAATTAAAAAGTGAAAAGAGATATTTTAGGTCATTTTAATAACTAAATAAAAATGCTGTTTTCTATTATCAAAATAAACCTCGTTACTCCCAACTCGTTTTAAAGTCTCGTTCTGAGGAAAACAGCACATGCAGTTGAATAAAACACCAATAATTTCAAGTCTTTTACTCAGATCAAAGCTTTCTCCTCTAAAAAATGTGGACCATGGTTCTGTCACAAACCTCTTCTTGTCAGGAGAGAGTCGTGGATTGGACACAAGTATCAGCCCCACGACCATCCAGCCTGGTAAACAGACTAAAAGCAAGGCAAGAACCCACATGTTCATAATAACAAGACAAGAAGACAACATGCTGCTGAGAAATGATCAAGACATCACAACAACAGAGGGTTGGACTCAGAAGAAGAGAAGTAAACATTTTAAATAAACTTTTCAAAGAAGTCAGATCCAGCTCATTAAGTCTCCAATCATCCTATAAAATGTCTGTGTTCAAACGAACGAAGCCAACTTTCCCAGCCTGGCTCAACACGGAGCTCCATGCCGCTGAGAGTGAACCCTCCCCTCCTGCCGCAGCTCCGTGCGCGCGTGTGTGTGAGTGTGTGAGAGAGACTGCCCCCCCGGCCGCTCGTGAACTTCCCTCACAGCCGCAGTTTCCTCCCCCCATAAATAAAACTTACTTTTCTCTGGCTTGGCTGTCGGACGGCACGTTGCTACTCTTGCCTTTGGCGTACATGCTTGCAGAGAGCTCCGATTGTCACGCACCTGTCAACCCATCACAACCTCCCTGGGCACAGCCCCGTCACCATGGTGACACGAGCAGCGTCGTCTCCCATTGGATGTCCCGCTGTGCAGGACCGCCCGCTCACCATGGCAACCAGAGGAGAGTGACAGCTGCAAGTCCCGCCCACCTGAGGGGCTGACTCCACTCACCTCCTCTCTCTCTCTCTCTCTCTCTCTCTCTCTCTCTCTCTCTCTCTCTC